ACCTACTGTGCACAGGGGACAGGGACAGGCCCCACACCTACTGTGTGGAGGGGACAGGGACAGGCCCCGCACCTACTGTGTGCAGGGGACAGGGACAGGCCCCACACCTACTGTGCGGAGGGGACAGGGACAGGCCCCACACCTACTGTGTGCAGGGGACAGGGACAGGCCCCGCACCTACTGTGTGCAGGAGACAGGGCTGGGCCCCACACCTACTGTGTGCAGGGGACAGGGACAGGCCCCACACCTATTGTGTGCAGGAAACTAGACCAGGCCTCAGAGAAGCGACCTGGGCTATCCTCAAGGACCCGCTGGCTCTTTATTTTCTCCACTCAGTCCAAGCTCAGGAAGAAGATACTTGAGCCCCAGTTTATTTCTGAGGAAACTGAAGCCCAGAAGGGAAGAGCCTGCTCCAAATCACAGGATCAGGGCCGGAGTCCTCAGGTCTCCAGACTCCAGGGACACTGTGCATCCTATGATGCCCTGGCCACCTTTGTCCTCAGCCAGTGGATGAGACATCGTGAGAGATACAAAGTGACCCCTGGACAAGGCCAGGAGAGACAGTTTGCTGTGTGACTAGAAACAGGTATCTTGCCCTCTCTGGGCCTCTGTCTCCTTATCTGTAGACACTGTGCCTTTTCACTGTCAAGACCTTGGCCCTCCTGTCTTCTTTACCTCCCCCCCCCACACACACACTGATGGATATCCTATGAATTCCATACTCAGAGTGGTCTGGCTTTGTCCCACGGCCCAGCAGCCCCTGCCAGTCATAGGACTTTAAGCAGACCACCTCCCTGTTGGTGCTCTCACTCCTCTGCCCATCTCACATGCGGCCAGATTGTCCAGGAAGTGGAGATGCCACCGTTCTCACAGAGGGAGCTGAGGCTTAAGAGCCCCGGGCTGGAGAGATGGCTCAGCGGTTAAGAGCACCAACTGCTCTTCCAGGGGTCCTGAGTTCAATTCCCAGCAACCACATGGTGGCTCACAACCATCTGTAATGGGATCTGATGCCCTCTTCTGGTGTATCTGAAGACAGCTACAGTGTACTCACATATATAAAATAAATAATTAAAAAAAAAAAAAAAAGAAGAAGAAGAAG